CCCCAAAACCCCAAAACCCCAAAACCCCAACCCAAAAACTCATATTTAAACCCCACCAAAACCCCAAAACCCCAAAACCCCAAAACCCCAAAACCCCATTTGTTAAAAATTGCATTGAATTTTCTAAATATTTATAACTTTGAAGCATGAGTGACCATTCAAGTTGTTTCAGCCCCAACTTTTATGAGAATGGACTTACTAAAGGTGTCGACTCAAGTGTCTCAGTCAAAGAAGAAGATCTTCTGAATATCAGTAAAGAGAGTTTTAAATAATACTATTGAAGTTGAAAATGCCCTTGAGGGAATTCTTAAAGAAAAGGACTCAGAAAGTGAAAATTTTAACTCCTGTACTCAATCAGCCATGAGCGAGACTGATCATGAGAAGAGGAACAGTCTTCATTCCATGTTTGAAGCATGTTTACGCAAAAACAACATGCTTGGGGATAACTTTATCCTAATGTGGATCAATGAAATTGAGAATCCTAAGAATTTTTATGAAATCGCTAAGAATAATTTATATAAAAAGATCAAGAGAGAAGGAGTTGTTCTTACAGAAAATGATTTATTTGAAGAACTCAACAAACAGTTTGAATAATTGGATTAAACAATAGCAGACAAATGTAAGCTTCTGACTTCAACATATATTGTTAACAAAATCTAGAAATACTGATACTACTGAGCATCAGACTAAGAATACTAATGAAGAAAAATATTCTCTCAATCCTCCTTCTGAATTGATAAATATCGAAGTTTATTGTTCTAAAGAGAGTAAGGTGAAATGAAAGAAAAAGAATGGAGTTCAGAAGAAGACAAGTGTTAGTTCGTTCCCTTGATCCCATGAATCATCAGCTGCTTCAAAGGCTAATTACAAAAATCGTGCTTTGTTTAATATGCTTCGAACTCCAAGTTCAGATTCCCACAGCAAGATTACAATTCAGAATAGGAATTCTAAGATAGATGAGCCTATGAGTTTTAGAAGTTATCAAAGATACACCGATATCTCTAGAAGAAGTGAGCCTTATGCATGTAATAAGAGCAGTTTCACTAAGGTAAACTTTCTTGCCTAATCATTAGGACTCTAAAAGAGTATACAAAGGCTACACTCCCAGATACTGAAAGGTGAAAAGAAGCAAAGCTAGTCATCATGAAAAGCCAAAAGTGTTTAACTCTTGTAATCCATTTGTTAATTTTATATACAGTTGTCCAGAAAGTCCCGAAATTTGAGCAGAATAGTTCATGAGAAGAAGTTCAGAGGACTAATACTGAAGTTAAGGTGAAAAAGCATGTCCCAAGGATAATCTTGCCTACTAAATCTATTCAAAGTGTGAAAGACTCTTCTAAAAGCATTATCCAAAATAGCTCTTGTTCTGATGAGAGTAATAAGTTTTATTCTGGAGACAGGATGCTCAAAGGGTCTGTATTAAGCCATAAAAGCTCATATATTTCTAAGAAGACTGCCAGTCCTGATAAGACCAAATAAGCCAGGCTATAGATCTGTGAATGCAGTGAGAGTTTTGACGAATAAAAGCAAGAGCAATCCGAGGGCTTTCACTTACATAAAGGATTCCTCTACATCTAGAGATGGATTGACTAGTAAAGAAAATAACAATTTCGAGAAGATTGAAACTGAAAATAGCTGTATCTCCAAAACTATTGAGGAAGAAGACAAGAGTCATGATCTAAAACATGGCGGCTACGGAGACCAAGATGATATAGTCATATCCTCATATGCATCTAATGAACAGGCAGATCTTTATCAAATTAACGAAGATTCGGTAGAACATTTTCCAACTGACTCTTTGGAGAATTCCTATAAGGAATATTTAGAGAAGAGTTGTACTCAGAAAACTATTCTGGACTGAGACAGCCAAGATCATGCTAACTACCAGTCTGAAGGGAGTGAGCTCCATATGAACGATATCCATAATCTCAGTCATAAGAAGCCAAGTGGTTATTTTGGCTAACAATAATTGGAATATAATTTTCAATAACTTTTCATTGAATTGGGGTTTTGGGGTTTTGGGGTTTTGGGGTTTTGGGGTTTTGGGGTTTTGGGG